GACAGTAGATTTAACTGCACATTTAAGACAGTAACTGTCATGATATGAGCCACCTTCTCATCAGGTTAATTTAAAATACCTCCAAATTCAGAGTCTTAATTACATAGATTAATAGTTGCATACAGATTAGATAATGAAATTCAGAACCTTTCATTTAAAAAGTTTAATGCAAAATTTCATGTAAGTGAAATGAGTCATTTTTCATGTTATAAAACTCTCCAGCTTATAGCAGCCAATATTGATTAAGCCGTTACTACGTGCCCCACGCTGTTCTAAGCTCTCGTTATGTATTACAACTCATTTAGTACTTCCCACACCCTTTGTGGTAGGTTCTGTTATCCCCATTTCACAGATGTGCAAATTAAGGCAAATAGAAGTTAAATGTCGTATCCCTGGTCACGTAGATTATAAATAATGGAAATGTGTTTGGAACTTTGATCTTTGGAATCTGGAGCCCAATACTCTCATTTACTACACTGGATTTGTATATACTTTATTATTATTTTTTAAATTTTTATTTATTTATTATTTAATCTTTTTTGGGGGAGGATGTAATTAGGTTTATTCATCTGTTTGCTTAATGGAGGTACTGGAGATTGAACCCAGGACCTTGTGCATGTTAGGCATTCACTCTACCACTGAGTTATACCCTCCCCCGTATGTACTTTAAATATGTAGACATACCTGTTTCACATGTATTTAGTAATTTTTACATGTACTTAGTAATTTTTTGAATCTGTAGTGATGTGGATAGCACACTGCTTGTAATGTAGAAACCATGTAATCTCTGTTGTTTTCTCCCTTTTTCCTCTACTATTTAATGTAATTCATTTTTTTAAAAGAAATGTTACTATAAAAGGTTCAATAATAAAAGTTCCAGATTCTCCTTCACAAATCTTTCAAGGCATGGATTTCTTACCTCAGTAGTGTGAGGACATTCATCTTGATGATAAAAAGTCTACTGGCATGTTCATTTCTCACTCGCTGTCCAGGGCTTGCTTATGTCCATGCAGGGCAAGGAGGCGTGTGTCTGACGGGACCTTGCAGTTGGGCATTCCCAGGACTGTGCATCTTAATTGGAAACGAGTCACCACTTTATGTTTTGCCATTGATTAAGCAATGAGCTTTTCTTTACAGCTGTCACAGGCTTTTATATCTCTGTTGATAGCAGCTCCTTAAATGGAAAAACACAACAAAGCACAGCAAAAATATGTTAGTGCCTTATAAGCAGCTAATTTACTGTCTCAGTTCTATTACCTTCTATTTTTAAGATTTGTTTTAAGAGTGGATGCCGTATTGTTCTTGAGAAAAAGTGTAGCTTGTATTGAAAAAAATTTCTATTCTACAAATATCTCAGAACAAAAATCAAACTTAAGTGCTGACTAGATCAATCCTTTGGGAAGACATTGAGGAATAGAGCTAAATGATTTTCCTGGGGAGTGTACACCTTGTAGATGTAACCTCAAGAAACTGAAGGAGGCAGTTTGGACATATTTTTGACTGTTTTGAAAACAAATAAATGAACTCTTAGCATTTTACTTCATTTATTTATTTTTAAATACATATTTTTATTGAATTATAGTTAGTTTACAACATTGTGTCAATTTCTGCTGTACAGTATAATCTTCAGTCATATAGGAACATACATATATTCATTTTCATATTCTCTTTCATAAGTTACTACAAGATTTTGAATATAGTTCCCTGTGCTATACAGTATGAACTTGTTTATCTAATATAGTATCTGTAAATCTCGAACTCTCAACTTATCCTTTCCCACTCTCTTCCTCCCCAGTAGCCATAGGTTTGTTTTCTATGCCTGTGAGTCTGTTTCTGCTTTGTAAATAAGTTCATTTATCTTCTCTCCGCCACCTTTTTTTTTTTTGATTCCACATATAAGTGATATCGTATGGTATTTTTCTTTCTCTTTCTGTCTTACTTCACTTAGAATGAAATACTCCAGGTCCATCCATGTTGCTGTAAATGGCATTATTTTATTATTTTTTATGGCTGAGTAGTATTCCATTGTGTAAATATACCATAACTTCTTTGTCCAGTCTTCTGTCAATGGATGTTTAGGTTATTTCCATGTCTTGGCATTTTACTTTTTTTAGTTTTTAAAGTATTTACATGGAGTAGCAGTAAAGCATAGAGCATCTGGCTGAGCATGCTTTCATTTTAGAATTTATGCTTTGTGTCGGGGGGAGTCTAAAGTGAAAAAGTTACCACTTTTTGATATTGTTATAAAAGAGGATTGGAAAATAAATATTTCATATTAATTTATGCTAAATAATGTTTTCCAATATGACGCTCTTTATTTACAGTACTCAGGGACTCTTTAGATCTTGAAAAGTAAATACATTATTTCTCTTTCCTCAGAAACGTGCTAAGGGACAAGTGTTATTTGACAAAGTGTGTGAACATCTCAATCTCTTGGAGAAGGACTACTTTGGACTTTCGTTTCAGGAAATCCCTGAGCAAAAAGTAAGTGATATTATTTTAAGTTTGTTTATATCATCTTAGGAAAGTACAGTGTTTTTCTTTTAACTAGTGTAAAATTTAACTTTAGAATAACTTACGTTTTTATTACATATTTTATGTTCATTGTAGAAACTTGGTAAAGATTAAAGACTTGTGGTTTCATGTATAACTTTTTGCTACTGTGTATGTGTCTGCTTTTCCCCTTATAAGCAGACAGAATGGAATGTTTATCCTATGTTAATATTAGAAACTGAAAGAACTGGTTTTAAAATTTTTATGTTGAATGAAAAAGAATATATATGTATAATATATGTGTGTGCATGTATATAACTGAATTACCATGCTATATACACCAGAGACTGACACAACATTGTAAATTGACTGTACTTCAGTTTAAAAAAAAAAGAGCTTAAAATTTTTATGTTGAATTTTTAGCTCTTGAGTGCACCTGTATTATAGGAGTTAAATTGCCTGAAAAGCAGGGAGGGAGGCATATTGGAAGGAATGTTGGGAGATCCCATGTGTACTCGTCTGGAGGTTTGAGACAGAGAGATTTGCCTTCCTGAGCACATTGGTGGTTGTGTGGGGTGAAGGTGTTCCTTGCCCTGTTCTGTGGTTACTGGGGACTGGGGGGGAGGGAAGAATGGGGGAGTTGTTCAGTGGGTATAGAGTTTGTTTTGCAAGATGAAAAGTTCTAGAATCTCTTGCACAACAGTGTGAATATAGTTAGTGCTGCTGAACTGTACACTAAACATTGATTAAGATGGTAAATTTTAAGTTACGTGTTTTTTTTGTTTTGTTTTGTTTTGTTTAAAACCACAATTTAAAAATACTATTTGTGAGAAAACCAGCGTACTGCTGCGACTCCGGAAGTGAAGATTAAGACATAGACCCTGCCTTCGTGGATGTCCCTGCTTAGGTTCTTGCTGAGAAGACAGAATAAAGTGAAATACACAGTTAGCAGATTTTGATTGCTACTCTGCAGGGAAGATTCAGGTTATTAATGGGAAAGACCTCTTAGGAGAGAATGTTGCTTAAGCAGAAACCTGAAGTGTGAGTGGGCTTTGAGTGAAGGGCCCTCGGGCAAGAGTAGCTGACTGCCTGAAAATTGGAAAGAAGTCTGCTGTGGTTAGTTGGGGGAGACTGGGTATTGATAGGGTTCAGATCATGCAGGGCCGTCTAGGCTATATATCAAGGCTTGGGAGCTCTTCTTTATCCTAAGAAAAATGACAAGTCATTGATGGGCTGAAGCAGTGACGTAAGACGATCAGTCTTGCCTTTAAAAAGGTCACTTTGAGAGAGGGACTGGGATGAGAGGGAACTTGAGCAGGATTGCTCACCCAGAGCACAAAAGGAGCCTCAGCTGAGGTTCTGGGAGTGAAAGTAGACCTGCAAATGATTCAGGAGACATTTAGGAAGGAGATAGAATCAGTCTGATTATTGATGGGGTGTGAGGGATGACAAGCTCCAAGAATAAGGCCTTGAGTTTCTAGAGGGATGGAGAAGAGGGGAGGCCTATGTGGGGATGATGGCTGGGGACATCACAAGTGCAGTGTCAGGTTGTTGAGTTTTAGGTCGGATAACTACTTTTGGGAGAACAAATCAATCAGTAGATTTAATTTTGGCTATGCCTTAAAAAATGATGGCTAGCATAGAACAGATACCCCGGGTGGAATCTATCTGAGCAATACGGAGTGCGGTGGGATGGTATTACTTCCTGATGGGAATGTCATATTTAATATTGAGGCTTGTAGTCAGGTATACTTATTTAAAAGAATCTGAGGCGGCTTTTGCCATAAAAAAAATTCCAAATAAAACAGACATGACTTAATAGCTAATCATTCTGGAATTCCTGCATCGCAGCAAGCACTGTCTGAAGCATTTCACATGTATTGTCTCATATGGTTCTCAGAATAACCCTAAAAGGTAGGTAGTATCAACCACACTTTATAGATGGATAAAGTTGAGGCATAGAGAAGTTAATAATTCACCTAAGGCCGCCTAGGCAGCAAATATTGAAGATAAGATTCAAACCCAGGCAAAGTAGGAAGAAAAAAATAGAAAATGCAGTCACTCTAAACTTTCCATCAGTCAAGGTAGAAAGGGTTCAGTATTTTATAGTGATCACGACTGGAAAAGTAGAAGAATACCATCTTGCCTTAGAGGACTTTTTCATCTTAAATTCTCGAAGTCATCCTGCAAGACTTCGTGTATGTATGAGGAGTGTTCTCATGATGGGCTTTCCAGTTGATGTTTCCATAATGGTGTCAGTAAATTTAAGGGGTGACCTGACTACTGATGGTGATTCTGTGAGAGTCCATGCTGGTGCTTTTCAAAACGGACTTTTTCCTTCCTGTCAGAACATCTGGGAGATGAATTTCCAACTCAGAATTTTTATTTCTCTCTCTCTTATCCCCGCTGTTCACACACACACACACACACATTCTCTCTCTCTCTCTCTGTCTCTCTCTCTCACTCACTCACACTCATCCTGACATTTAGGCTCACTGGGCATGCCGTCATTCTTCCCTAGTTTAAAAGTACTGCTATTACTGTTTACATACAGGATTGAAGAGTGTTGGGGCTGTGTTACTGGATCGGATGTGTCATACCCCTCAGGTATCTTGGGACAGAAAATAGATTGTGAACTTTTTGGTCAGTGTCTTAGTCCTTTTGGGCTGCTATAACCAAGTATCAGAGACTGGGTGGCTTATAAACAGCAGAAATTCATTTCTCTCATTTCTGGAGGCTGGGAAGTCCCAGATCAGAGCACTGGCAGATGGTTCCTGGTGAGCGCCTGCTTCCTTGTTCACAGACAGTGACTTCTCGCTGTGTCCTCATGTGGTGGAGGTGGGAGAGGGTTCTCTGAATCCTCTCTTATAAGCGCACTAACCCCAATCGTGAAAGCTCCACCCTCATGACCTAATTGTTCCAGGGGCCCTGCCTGCTAATCTATCGCATTGGGCATTAGGATTTCAACATTTGAATTTGAGGGAGACACAGACCTTCAGATTATAGCAGTCAGGCTAATATTATCCGAGTATATAGGCTTCCAGTAATGTAACTCAGTTCAGGGGTAGAACTTGGCATTCCCTGTCCTAAATGCCAGCTGAACATTGATTAGTGACTAGAGAGGAGACTCTTTTAAGTCTTACTACCGAAGGGGCTTATGGTATGAATATTTCACATTGTTATAAAAAGGCAGTTCTGTAAATGTTGGAAATGATCTTAGCAGTTTAATATTGACATTCTATAGTAGAAATGGAGAACTGTGACCGGCATTCTGACTGTGGGCAGGGAAGGGACAGTGCACAGAAGAAAGGTAATGAGTCCAGTGTGATTGATCCTGGTGGTGTGAGGCATTTCAAGTTGTTTGACAGGGCTGGAGGAGGTGGCAGCGTCAGAGCCTTTCAACAGGAGGGGCCTCTGAGCAGGTGGCAAGTTGGAAGGAAGAATTGGGGACTTGTATTGAAGCTGTATTTTCTCAGTAAGCACAGTGTTTTAACTTATGTCATAGATTTATTTGGGGCGGCTTTGTGGGAAGGGCTGATGGAGATTATGGGAAAGTTAGGCACAGATCATTTTTTTGGAAGGCCTGTGTCTTGTGCAAAGGAATCTAGCTTTTTAGTCTGTTGTGAAGGATGTTAAATAGAAAGTGACATGGTAAGATTTTTTTATTTCAGACAAAATAAGATGTTTGTGGTGTGGGAGATTGGGAACTGAGACTGGAGGCAAGAAGGTCTAGTCCAGAGGTGGTAGAACCTGGGGCAGTGACATTAGGAGTGAAAACAAGAGACAGAGACGCTGAGTAGGTTGTGTCCATGGAACTTTGTGACCGATCGCCTCCGAGTTTGAGGGCAACGGAGGGGTGGGGGATAAGTCCCAAGTTTCAGACTTGGGTAGCTGGGTGACTTGTTGGAGACTTTTACAGAGGAACTTTGGAGAGGGAGCAGCAGTTTGGGGTTAGGGGTCAGAGGTGGAATCTCATTTTCATTTTGCTAAGTTGGAAATGCTGGTAGGCTGTTGGCTAGATGATGCTTGTGCATCGGGGTGAGTGAGGGCTGGGGAAAGGTAACACTGAAGGATTTGAGAGCAGGTGTAAACTGTTATTTAAATAAGCCTGACTACAGAGAAGACAGATGGGAGAGGGATACTAGAGAGTACAGTACTTTTCATGAAGATGAGATGTTCTAGACCTGCTCTGTCTTGTACGGCAGCTACTGGCCACATACAGCTATTGCGCACTTGAAATATGGCTGGTGTGACTGAGGAAATGAAGTTAAATTTTATTTAATTATAAAAACCTAAATTTAAATAGCCTCTTGTGACTGGTGGCCATTATACATGACAGTGCGGGGAGCTTACTGAGGGGTTTGGGGCTGACAGATTTGCTGGGATGGAGGTAATTTTGACTTTGGCTCTGAGAGAGCCCAAAGAAAGGGCGAGGTTAAAGAGCAAGGAAAGTGATGATGATGATGGAAGTTTCCACAGTCAAGAGGATAAGCCTTGAATAAAGAGGGTGCCCATATCCCCTTGTGTCTGCAAGCAGCAGGGTAAAGAGTGGTGCAGATGTAAATGAATCTGAACTAAAATGCAGCCTAAAATCTCTGCGAAATAGAGGGTAAAATCGTTTGCTAAGGGTGACCAGGGTAGCAGTGGAGACTCCGAGAGGCAGACTACTGAAGACGAGGATGTGGATGGCTGTTTGACAGTCCAGCAGAAATTGCAGACCATGACGTTGTGATGGCAGCCAAATACATTGGTGTGTGTTTTTCTCTAATTGCTATCTACAGCCTGGGTATAATAGTGGGGAAATGAGATATTAAAGGGGAGTTGACTACATTCACAGTGGTTGTGTACAGTGAGAGGACAAAAGACTGTGAAAACTGGAGATCCTGATAATCAAGCCTATTATTCACAGGAAGGAATATAACTGAAGTGCTGAAGTGGGCTAATAGGCTGGGAGAAAATGACTGGGGCCAAGGGATGAAAATCAGGTTGAA